AAGAGTTTGTGGGGGGGGGAAATCCATTTTCATTTTCTATGAACTTTTTGAACCCCCCTCATAGACTCTTCTCTGCAAACGAAGCCTCAAAGGACATGGCTCCTCTGCACTCCCCTCTGGATCACCGGTACACTGCCAACCAGGGAGCAGTTGGGCCAGCCCCGCAGTTTTAAGTGCCTCGATATCGCCTCTAGGTGCCCTGGTTGCACAGTGGTTACATACTGGGTTATTAACTGCAAAGTCGGCAGTTCAAAACCACCAGTTGCTCCACAGGAGAAAGCCAGGGATCCCTATTTTCATAAACAGTTCCAGTCTCAGAATCTCACGGGGGCACTTCTATCCTATCCTGTAGGGTCGCTATGACTCGATGGCAACAAGTTTGGTTTGGTTTGGTTACAGAGCCTCGAAACAGGAGGATTGAGGAGAAGAGCAAGGAATCGTGGGGAGGAATCCAAGTCCCAGTTTACAAAGGGAAACTAAACAGCTCAACAAAACAAGCAAGCCTGCAGGCCTTCACACAGGATTTGGCACAGACCATTTAAGCCAAGCTAAATCACAAACGCTTTCAATGATATGAACATTTTAAACAGTTACTTGCACGAATGCAACCAGTTTTGGCAAATGGGGCATGACTCTCCAAGTCAACTGCCCCTATGTGATTTTACGAACGACCAAAGTTTGGTTTGATTTTTATTTTATTTCTTTTTGGTGGTCGCTATTTACAAACAAGTGAATGACACTACGCTCTTGCTACGTAAAGGAAGTCCCTGGACCAACACCAGAAGCATCACATGGGAGAGTCTACTACGAATGTTGGCCACAGGGTCTATTCCATCATTCAGAGCAAAACTCCAGGACAGAAGAGAACAGCCCCGCAGAGTTTTCAAGGCTGTAGTCTACAAGGAAGCAGACTGCCTCATCTTTTCCACCAGGGCAGATGATGAGTCCACACCACCAAACTTTCAATTGGCAGCCAAGCACTGAATCACTGGGCCACTAAGTTTCCCTGGGAGCCTGTCAGACAAGAAAATCCCTGGGTCCTACTCTACACCCAATCACAATCTGCATTTTTCTTTTCTTTTTTATGAACCATTGGAATTTATTCATTAAATACCATCTTCCCTACCAGGCAACACTGTTGGCTGAATTTGAGTTATTGTATGCTTCTTTTTCTTTTTCCAAAACCATTTTATTGGGAGCTAATGCAGATCTCATTATTGTTCCATAGTTCAATCACATCAAGCAGTATTGTACAATTACTACCACAATCAGTTTCAAAGCATTCTCTTCCTTCTTGAACTCTGATATCAGATCCCCTTTCCACCCCCCCACCCCCTACTGTCGCCTGCCCACCCACTCCCACCCCCTGCCTCAGGAACCCTTATTCTACTTGCTGTCCCTATAGGTTCATCAATCCTGAGTTTCATAGGCTCTTGTGATTCACGTATCTATCGACGTTTAAGAAGCACCTGTGGTAGTTACATAATCTGGTGTCAACTTGATACTATTCAGAGTGAAGGGGTGGAGTTTAACCTGTTAATCAGATTATAGCCAATGAAGCCTCCATGTGGGCATGGCCTTCTCCTGAGGATTCTGGAAATTCCTGTCTTCCTCCCTGGAGACAGGACACACACTCTCTCTGTTTAACATTCCTGATGACAAGCCAGATGGAGCTACGCTGAAGGAGCCAGAGCTGGAGGAACCACATGGAGACCCATGCCAGTGCTGAGATGCTCCCACCACCACTGGATCCACAAAACATTCCACCCACTGTCCTCTGATCTTCCAGCATTCAGCATCATTGCACGGCTGTGTGAGTCTAAAGAGGAATTTATGGACTAGTATCCACATATGAGGTAATATTGGACTTATGGACCTGATTTGGACAGGGCTGGGGTGTCTTCTCAATATACAATTGCTGTTTTATAAAAAAAACTCTCTCTTGTACACATGAGTGTCTATGAATTTGTTTCTCTAGTCTACCCAGACTAATACAGTACCTGAAGTTTAACCTTCCGGCCACACTCATTTCCTTAACAAACTTTTTGGAGAGATCAAACAATAGCCATGTTTCGTTGGTGTTAGAGCCTCTGGAATGTGTCCCATTGGGGATCTTCTGTTTTTCTTCTTCTTTGGGCTGTAGCTAATAATACAGACTGTTTTGCTGGTAAATCAGAGGTTCCAGGTGGTTCTTGGATGGGAGCCCCGAAACAAGGCTATAAAAAGCCAAACTATTTCTCTCTTGGAAGTTTCCAACTTGCATATTCCCTGAGGCAACTAGCTTCAGCCTAACAGAGGCAAATCATTCCAGGTCGAACCGATGGACAAACATCACACTGCCCTCATGTACTTCCAAATAAGGAGAGAGTGACGCCAAAATCAACTTTATTTTAGAATGTCACACCCTGGTGCATGAAAAATGGCCTTTCACATGAAGACTGAGAAAAACAACCCACATAGCTTTCATATTACTTAAAATTCTTCGACTGCCAAAAAAACCCCAAACCACCCTCCATTATCCCTTTTTCCATATTCTTCCCAGAGCTTATAATGGGACGACTGTGATTATCTGACCAGTCCTCCCCGAGTGAAAGAGATACAACAAGGATACAGAAGACAAGAATCCTCAAAGGAATGATTTGCAACAAGGGAATTTTTCCAGTGTGATATAAACTCTCAAACTGGGCAAAAAGTTCTCCGAAGGATCAGAAGATAGTTCCAAAAACAAATAGCAAACATTAACTGAGGTAAATAGATTGATGGTATCCCTGAGCAAATCCCTGCATATAATATAAATTATCTATTGTGCATAAATATAAAAATCACTTGGTATTACCAAACATGTGAATTAACATGACTTGAGAGCCTTTATACCCTTAAATCCAGTGCTTATTCACCACCTGCATTCAAACTGCTCCTCTCGTAGTCACATCTGATGGACTAGAGAGATTGGAGTTAATCATCAAAGAGTTTGCTTCATGCCATTTGTAAAATGTTGCTACTGTTATGAATTGGGCGACCCCTGGGAAAGGGTCGTTGGACCCCCCAAAGGGGTCACGACCCACAGGTCGAAAAACCGCTGCTCTACAATCTTTCTCAACACTGCAGCCAGAGAGATCCTTTCAACATAAACCAGATCATGCCAGCAACACCTTGTAATTGCTTCTCATTTCAACACCCAAACCTAACACTGAAACAATAGCCTAGGAGGCCTTACAAAAATCACACCCATTATCACTCTAACTCCAGGGTGGGGGACAGCCGGCCTAAGGCCTGATAAAGCCCATGAAATCACTACCAGCTGACATCCTATGCCTCCCCAAGGTGAAGCCATTCCAGCCAGCACAATAGGGGTGAGTTTGACCAATAATGCCTGCAAATGAAGTCGTCAAGATCCCAACAGCCCTTGACAGCAAACAGGTCCCCATCCCTGCCACCTCACTGTCTCTCCCGGTCGCACATTCTGCTCCCACTATGATTCCTAGACCACCCAAGCCTATCCTTGCTTCAGGGTCCTTCAGCCTGGAACATTCTTCTTTCAGATGTCGATCGTGTCTAATTCTCTCGCCTCCTTCAAATCTTTGCCGAATGTCATCTTCCCAGTGAGGTTTCCCCTGCCCCTCCTATTCGACCCTACAACCACTGCCCGTACACACCCCTCCAACGCTCCCAATTGCGCTTCACCCTGATCTCCCTTTGTCTTTCCATTTTGTTTGTCAGTGCCCTTATCATCTTCAAACACACTTGTTAATGCATGGATTGTGTTGGTTTTATATCAACTCCCCCACCCCCATTGCATTACATGTTGGGCTGAGAGCCACAAGCTCAGCAGTTCAACTCCACCAGCTGCTCGGTGGGTGCAAGATGAGGTGGTCTGCACTCATAAAGATTGACAGCCTCAGAAATGCAAAGGAGCAGTTCTACACTGTCCTATCAGGTTGCTACAAGTTGAAATCAGCTCGATGGCACTGAGTTTGGGTTTGGGTTTTGGATGCCCCCAGCAGAATGTACACTCAATGAGGGCAGAAAGAAGCCTTTGTTTTATTTTCTGCAATATCTCAGGTGCTTATAACAGTGCTTGGCATATACTCCTGAGCCAAAGCCACTGCCATGCAGTTGATTTCGACTGATGCTAAGTAGGGTTTTCAAGACTGTAAATCTTTACAGGAGCAGAGGCTTGTCTTTTTCCCATGGAACAGACGGAGGATTTGAACCACCAACCTTACAGTTAGAAGCCCAATGCCTAACTCACAGCACCACCAGAGATCTATATACCATATAATACCTGTTCAATACTGATCTGTTGAATATAAGAAGCTTTCGTTAGTTGGTGTAGCTAACAGAATCATTGGTTCCATTATGGCAATCAAAAATAGGTATGTGGATGTTCATTACACTATTCTAATTTTTACATGTGTTTAGACATGTCCAAGTTCAAAGGAGCTTTGTGGTGGTGGTGGTTTGTGATTAAAAAAAAAATAAGTAGACAGTGAGCATTTTGGGTGTAGTTAAATGTTACCCCTTTGAAGTTTGGGGGAGACAGGATGACAGAAAAAGAGAAAAGCAAACTTGCATTTCATTTAGAGCCAGTAAGTCATTTTTTCAGAAATTGCAAGTCCCTTCATCTCTGGATCTCCAGCTTCCTAGTATCTAAAACAAAGAGGTGTGAGAGAATACCTCTACCTTTCGTCATCACCAAAGTTCAGCTATTCAATCATCATATGATCTAGGGCCCTCTCTTTCCCTAAGCACGACCTTCACACATTTGGCTTCTGCCGGATCAATTCTGACTTTATGTGGCATCGTTCCATGTTTATGTTCTCATTTCTAGATTCTTTCATTTTCATGACGACTTTCTACAACTTGTGAATGGCTGAGTGTTGAGTGAATCAATGGACGGCCGGGATTTCTCTTGGAACCGACACTGCTCTCTAGACCCATCCCTAGAAGAATTGGAAGGCAGCCATGGGCCAACTGGCGTGACTGGAAGCACGACTTACCATCTCCTTCTTGTCTTCCTGGAAGTGCACGTCCACGAACATTTTCCCAACCACATAAGGGAGGGCACTTTCGATGAAGTTGACGCATTTGTCCCACTGAGGCAACAAAGTTGTGGTCCCCTGGATTACCTGTGGGAGATCATGAAGTCAAATTGAGCCTCACTTGGGAGCAAACCCAGGACTAAAGAAAAGTCAATGCACCTGTAGAAAACACAGTCTACAAAAGCTCGCAGACCTTCATCCACTTGCCTGGTCAGCTCAGCCAGCCAGAGAAAACCAGTTTCAAAGTGAAAAATGATGTAGGGCTCCTCTTCCTCTATGATGTTCCATTCAGCAAGCTAGGTATTGAGGCAATCCAGGTACATGAGGATGCTGCCCAAGTGCCAAGGGAGTATTGAAAACTGAGAACAACATTTCTAACAGGAAAGGTCTAGAATCAATGGAAACGATGATGTGTCCTGCTCAGAGAGGCTTCCATGTCTCTGGGCAGTATACTCCCAAGGTAGACCAGGAGAATGTAGACTACTATGCACACCCCAGAGAACATACTGACATGGTGCCATCGTGAAGAACCCACTGACAGCCCAGTAAACTATAGATGTAAGTACTTTTCCCATCTGTCCCTGGACACCATCTGTAACCACGTGAAGAGGTCCCCAAGCAGGACTTGGAAGGTTCTTGTGGATGAATGAGAGAAACAAATATAATGTAAGTTGCCCTTGGAAGTGTGTGTGTGTGTGTGGGGGGGGGAGCCTGGTGAGAGGGATGCACAGTTAGCGACAGAGGTTATTTGGGCACAGAAAAAGGATGTACACTGAAGTTCGTCTATTCTTCCTCTACTTTCTGGTAGCAGCACCCCTCTCAGGGCTAAGAAATGAGTCTATTTTTAAAAGCTCTAGAGAAAGAGATCCCACAACCTTCTTTGGCAATTCAACATTATATTTAGCACATCACACTCAAGAAACATCCCCTCATACCTAACCTCAATTCTTCACACACTACTTCTTACACCGCGCTCGCTCTTATTCTCTTCACAGTGGGGTAGGAAAGCAGCTGGGTACCATTTTCCATGTGACCCAGAGGAGTTAAAAATATACGCAAGCACACATGCCTAGAAGATCTACGTTTCTTCAGCTTAACCCTTTTACATAACCTAAATATATGTAGTCGGGGGTTCTTTTGTTTGTTTTGGCTGGTGGTTGTTGTTGCTGTTCTCTATAAAGCTTTATATTCTGGTAACTTTATAGGGCTAAAATATATTCCGAATGATTGAGGTACTCCCTCAAGAGTGATGGCCCATGAAGAATCTAAAACATCTGTTCAGTGAAACCATAGCTAATAAGCTTCGTCATTGCTTAACTTGAAATGGAAAGCAAACTTAAATAAACTTGAAATGCCACTCCAAAAGAAGGCACAGAAGCCTGAAGCCCTCTAGTGGTAGTCACCAGAGAGTTATTCCGACAAAAGGCTCAGAAACAAAGGGGAAGAGAGCAGCACCTGTGTACATTAGGAGAGGAAGACTGCTGGAAGAGAAGCAAAGATCAGAAGAGCCCGGTGAGGGAGACAGGAAAGCATTTGAGGCAGCTGAGCAAGGCCTCTGAAGAAGAGACTACGTGTAGGCTTACTTGGCCTACCGGAATCAGGCCTGACTCCAAGAGTGAAGATGCAGACAGCGTTAACAGACAATGCTCTACCCCAGTAGTCAGATGGAACCACCATCTGTCGTGCACGTGCTTTGAGGACGCAACATACTGAAAACGAAAGGACATCACAAATGCCTCACTTATAAATATTTTAACTATAACTCTTGTGGCCCAGGTACGAATGCTGAAAAGAAATGTTAAGAAAGGGAGAGTTTCAAAGTGATGGGATTGTACCAAGTACCATCCTAAATACCTTCATATTGTACTATCCAAGTAGAGCTGGATGTACATCTGCATGTACTTCACTACATGCAAATGATAGCTAAAATTCTTTAAATTAAGTTTTAGTAGAACTTGGACTGCAAAAGTTCTTCTCTCCAATCCCTAAAGATGATTTTTATTCAATCAGTTAATATACAGATCGTTCCGGCAAGTAAAATTTATCTAGCAATGTAACCTTGCCACATCCTTCAACTTACCCTTGAGAATTCCAGCCACCTGTATTGAAAGCGCCTGCTGAGGTTTGGAATTCTGGAATAAACCATCCTCCACACTAAATAGTTGGCAATGGTCCTGTTAACAGAGAGAGAGATTGAGAGAAAGAGAAAGATGAGCATTTATTGTATTTTTGGTCGATATGCGATGCTCTACAGAGCACCTTGGGAAAAATTGTTGGCAATATTCCACAGAAGAACTTGCTCATGTACAAATGCAGAACTTTTACTCGAGGAAGTGATATAATGTCAATAAGCTCAACCCAAGGTGTCCAACATCGGTTTGCTTTTCCCCACCTAATACAGACCGAGAAAATGCAGACTCCAGCCCTCGCTGCAGAGTAAGCATTATGTTTTCCCTCTAAGGGCCCAGAATGCACTGGTGCTCAGCTCTCCGGGTCTAGGAGCTGTCAGTGCCTCCTAAGTATTTGGTGACTTCTTACCACGCAGATGTGCTCTTGGCCTCTCGAAACAAACAGCAATCTATCAGCCTATACCAATTACACAGATGGGCACCAAGGCTCTAGACGACTGTACAGATGCCCTGGCGCTCTGATTTTACTTTTCCATGTCATACAGTGAGGACGGACACTGCCTCCTGGGGTCATTATGAATCAAAAGAAGTCATGGACGGCTTGCCAGAGAGGAGATTCTAGGCTGTGTGTTTTTTTTGAGAGGGTAGTTATTTACTTCCAAACATATGAACAACCCCAAGCACACATGTAATGCTCATAGTAGGTATTATTAAAAATCTTCAAGCGTTGCCTTCCTTATAAGCAAAAGCATGCCCTGACCTCAGATGCATGTGCGGCCTAAGGTTATTTCTGGCTTAAGCAATCGTGATGATTGCTTTATAATGGTCCATCCCCTCCCCAGCTTCGTTATCACCATGATGACTCATGACACCCATTCTGGGGTCAGCCAGTCATGTGAGAGAAGTGTGGCATGGAGAAGCAAGCTGGCCCATCAAGAACACCCCCACCCGCCTTTGCATGGGGCTCTAACACAGTCCACATGAACTCCTCTCAAAGTAACATGTTTTTCAACATATATACCCAATGCATGCACATGTATGTTACTTACAGATACACTAATGGACACAGATAGTGGGGCTAGTTGCAAACACACACAGGAACAGGAATTTAGAAAGATAAGGAAACAAAAATATATGTTTCAAATCCTTAGTCGGTTCCTCAAGCACCATTAGTTAATTCTGTAGGACGCAGTAGCCACATAGCATGAGGTTTCTACAATAATGACAGTGGCTGTAAATCCAAATTTCAGATAGTCGTCTTGGCTGTTTCAACATGTCAGGACTATATTTGTGTCCAAACTGGTTAGACCACCATTGCCTTTCCCTTATCATCTGGAGTGGGAGCGGTTATTTTCTTGCCATTGTCTTGTGCTTACATTATTAATAACTTTTGTTTCTGGTTCGCTTCAAGAATTTCTTAAATCCCTTGTCCATATGGGGAGGATTACTTGAAACCAGATAATATCATCCATAAACCCACAGGAACATGTCAATTGCTTGACAAAATATCAAATGGAAACACACAAGTCAGGGTGATATCAACCCTATCTTGTATGCTATATGCATCAAATGACGGAACCATGTCTACCTACACATTAGAAAGCAATAAAACCTACTTATCTTCTAACTTAAAAAAAAGATAAACAGAAGCTCTAAAATTCTCTTGGATCCAGTGGACGATGGAAAGAATGTGCACACCCCTTGGGAGACTACTGTCCTAACCAGCAATATGCAGCCTTTGCCCATGCTCTGTTGAGACCACTATAATAAGCTCTAAAAGAATGACTGAGAATCACATACTCAATTTAGAGCTTTGGGCTTTACATCTCTACTCCTGAGCAGAACACGAAGCAGTCCCTGAGCCCTTCCTATAGGCCAAGGTTTGTGCCAGATGCCAGGAGGAATACAAAGCAATGGGAGCCCAGCCCCTCCAGTTAGAGAATCTAGTTGGAGACAAATAACTTCAGATTTGGGCTGCAGGCTTTTTTCTTTCAGGAACACATTGTAGGTTCACAAGGGACCCTTCTTTTATCCTCCTTGGCCAACCCATTTATTTTTGTTTTGTTTTTTCAATCATTTTATTGGGGGCTCATACAACTCTTATCACACTCCATACAAATATCCATTGTGTCAAGCACATTTGTACATTTGTTGCCATCATCATTCTCAAAACATTTGCTTTCTACTTGAGCCCTTAATATCAGCTCCTCATTTACCCCCCTCTCCCTCCCTCATGAACCCTTGATAATTTATAAATTATTATTATTTTGTCATATCTTATACCGTCTGACGTCTCCCTTCAACTACTTTTCTGTTGTCCATCCCCCAGGGAGGAGGTTGTATATAGATCGTTTTAATCGGTTCCCCCCTTCTACTCCACACTCCCTCCACCTTTCAGGTATCGCCACCTCACCACTGGTCCTGAAGGGATCATCCGTCCTGGATTCCCTGTGTTTCCAGTTCCTATCTGTACCAGTGTACATCCTCTAGTCTAGCCAGATTTGTAATGGCCAACCCATTCTTCGTGCCTACATTCACACTGTTGGTCCTAGGTGTGAGGGAGATGGAGAGGTGAGAAAGATATTGTTCTTGATTTTCAGTAACTTTCCATGGAGCAAAGATGAGACAGGAGTATAAACACTGATATTGCAGACCCAAGCAGCCAAACAGGAGGACACACAAAGTTTGTCCCTGATACCTCACCGAAGTAGGGCACACCTCAGGCTGGGGGGGTGGGGAGGGGAGGTTCAGGAGAGGGACGGGGCTTGGGCTGTGCCTAACCATAGGAAGGTTCTGAAGTGTGTTCCCAGGAGGTGAATTCTACGCTGGCTAACTTCTGTGGGAAGAAGCAGATGAGGTGGATGAGAGGGTGAGCAGAGTCACCGCTTGAGGAGGTGAGTGGATAGACCAGTGACATCGGGTAGACTCCGGCAGCAAGCACAGGGATGAATGACCCAAGAAGCAAAGGTATGCATGGGCTTACTTGTGCTTACTCACGAATCTGTAGCACAACGTCACCACATCAAAAATTGTGCACCTCTTGCTTATTGGTTAATCGGCCCCCTACAGGAGCTGTCAAACTCCAGTGCCCAGACCCTGATCTACCACCCGGTCTGTGTGGTCATCAGTCTTAAAATACTGCTTGTGAGGTGTGAGTGAGGTGCTGGTTCCACAGGTCACCAGGCAGCAAATGTCCCTAATGAGTTCAAAAGAGAGTCTGTCGAATGGGCAGCGGTGAGCCAGACCAATGGGGGAAGTGGCTAGAATGGGGCCTGATGGTTGCCAAGGAGGAGACAGTACGGCAGAAGTGACGTGGAGGGTGGAGAAGTGCAGCCTGTTCAGTGCCCCTACCCTCATGCGAGGTAGGCTCCTCACAATGTCGGTCACCCTCACAGCGCACCTCTAGGCCAGCGGCCTCTAGTCATGTGACAGTAAAGGAAAAGGAGCTCCTCACAATCAGGGAGTCGGTGGGTCTCAGCTACCCCACCCCCACCAAAAACCCAAAACCAATTACGAGAGGCCTTCCAAAAGCTCATGGGAAAATTCCATTGTTTGCTACTTCCATTTTTCCACTTTCTGAAGCCCCCGCCTGCATATGAATTTCTAGGATGGGACCCCACATTAAGGATTGTCTTTAAGTCTCCCCAGTGAGTTCCAATGTGCAGCCCAGTGTGAGAACCACTATGAGAAGGGATGGCAGTTCAGCCAGGGCCAGGTGAGTCGGACTCAAAAGTCTGGGTGATTTTCTGGCCAGTCACGCAGACCCGAACCCACTCTGACAATGGTGCCGCGTTGAACTAGGTGAGTCTGTCTATCTATCTATCTATCTATCTATCTATCTATCTATCTATCTATCTATCTATCTATCGAGAGAGATTGTGTGTGTGTGTGTGTGTGTGTGTGTTTGTGGCCTTCTCCGCCAAAGCATGACTCAGACTCGGCGCCCCTTGCAAGACCCGGGAGAGTTGGAAGGTGGAATGAGGGGGAAGCTCCCGCCGCGAGACAATGCTGCTGCTGAGGTCCTCGGCACGATGACATTAATATCCTGACAGGACGCTGTGGCCCGCCGCTCTGAGTGCAGTTATTACTGGGCCAGAAACAGATCTGACCCTAATGACGGAATCACTGCCGCCTAATGCTCAGAGGGGTGTGTGTGTGTGTGTGTGTGTGTGTGTAAAACAAAACAAAAATCAGACTTGGCAATAGTCCTTGAAAATAACACATAAGCACTCTCTTTATCTCTCTCTTCTCCCAACCTCCCCCCCAGCCCCATTTCCTGAATTAGCAGTAATTAGCAATAAATAGTGAAAAGTAAAGCAGCCCCGGAGAGAAGCCCCCACTAAGAGGGCGCCATGAAGTCATTTCCCAAAATCTCTGACTCAGAAGGATTTTTTTTGAAAAAGGAAGTATTTGCTGCCCCGTTCTCAGTTAGTTCCAGCTTATATTTGGTTTGCAATGACCACTCTATGGGAAACCAGAAGAACATGTCTCTGGCCGCTGCCACACAAATGACAATCAAATGTGATTAGCAATGTAAAAAAAAAATTCTCACTGTAGTATGCAAACATCTGCCCGCCGCTATGAGTCCATTCTGGCACACAGTAACCCTATAGGACAGTATAAAATTACTCCCTGGGGTTTCCATGTTTTCTGGGAGCAGAAAGCCTCATCTTTCCCCTACACTGTGGCTATTGGGTTCAAACTGTTGACCTTGAGATTACCAGCCCAACTGTAACCCACCATATTTAAATAAAGTATTCTTATCCAGGGCTTAGAACCAGCATGACCCCCAGCTAAGACTATGCCTTTCCATTCCAGATATACTGAATCTTAATCTACTTTTTTAATAAGGAGCCAGTTGATTCTGAAAGAGCCCCAGTTAATTTGTATGCTTACATGAGATTTTCGTGTATACACTCACACATAAGTAAAATAATCCTAGGAAGGCACAATCACTGAGGACAAAATGGGTGCACAAGCAAATGTGGTAAAGAAAGCAGATGGTGCCCGGCTATCAAAAGATATAGTGTCTGGGGTCTTAAAGGCTTAAAGTTAAACAAGTGACCATCTAGCAATGAAGCAACAAGCCCACATGGAAGAAGCACACCAGCCTGTTCAATCATGAGGTGTCGATGGGATCAGGTAACAGGCATCAGAAGACCCAAAACAAACAAAAAACATATGGTTGAGAACAATGGAGGTTGGAAAAGAGACCCAAAACCTATCTGTAGACTATGGGACATCCCCTCATGGAAGGGTTACAGGGAAGGGATGAGTCAACCAGGATGAAGTATACCACTGATGAAGCACAATATTCCTCTGGTTCTCTGAGGCTTCCCCACCCCCACCCCCACTATCATGACCCCAGTCCGGCCTTTCACTTCAGGCTAGGCCAGAACATGTAAACAAGTACAAATGAGAGCTCATGACACATGGAATCCAGGTCAGATAAACCCCTCAGGAACAGAAACAGGAGTGGCGATACCAGGAGGGTAGGAGGAAGGTGAAGAGAGGAGGGGGGAAGAAACCAAGGGGAAAGGGAGACAGAGGTCAATGTAAAATATAAATAATAATTTATAATTGATCAAGGATTCATGAGGGTGGGAGGGTGGGGGAAGGAGGGTAAAAAGAGGAGCTGATACCAAGGGCTCAAATAGAAAGTAAATGCTTAGAAAATAATGATGGCAACATATGTACAACTATGCTAGATACAATTGAATTGCTGTGGATTGTTCTAAGAGCTGCAAGGGCCCCTAATAAAATGATATTAAATAAATAAATGAATCTCCCAGGAAGCTTGTGGAAGCCGTAGACTCTGACTCCATGTATCAAAGGTAAAAATACAAATTCTCAGCAGGGGTTGGACCCGGAAGAACCAGTTCCAAGCCCTGCTAGTATCAATGTTCTCCAAAAGAGAGAGCTTCTGGAGAGCTCACAGAAGCCCCTCCAACCCAAGTTGGTTCTGCTCCATTGGCTGCTGGGCAGGAAACAGCTACGTGAGAGGGGCTTGGTTTTGTCTTTATCTTAAAATGAAGGTTTAGATGTCCATAATGTCTGCAAGGACATTTTCTATCCACCTTGTCTCCTGCTCTCATTCACTGTGTTTACATTCGTTCAAGTTCCCAGTTTGACAAGAACCAGATTAAAATCTCCCTCGAATCACAGTCTTTCCTGGTCTCTTTTGTAATGAAACGTCCTTCAATTCTAAAGTGTAATCATTACCATGTAGATGATTTTTTCCCCAAATACAGGCAACCAAGGGCCAATCTATTTCCTGGCTACAAATTAAGCTTCTTTGGAAATCAAATTAATACAATGTCCAAAAGTACCTACTACCTTATAACTGAAGGGAACACAGGCACTGGATGAAATTAGCTCATCGTTTGCTAAAGAATGGATCTATAGCATGGCCAACTTCACCTTCCGAGTGAAACGACCACCGAAGCTTCGGATATGCCTAGAAACTCAATGGAAAATGAGTAGAAAATCATTCGGGGCATATTTTATGCTGTTTCAGAACTAGGGAGTACTTATGAAGAAGTCTTCTACTGTACTGAGTCCATTCAAAACCTAATCATAACACTGTCCTAGGACGCCTGTTTAAAATACAGATTCTTTCCGGTTTGCAGAAGGCAGTGGATGACAGTGGGTGGCCAAGGTAAGTTTGCAAGATCTACACAGGAAATAAGCCTCTGGTGATTTCCCTCTAACCATAACCAAGGGATGGGAAGAAACCGGTTACCAGAAAGAGTGCATTGAAGAGATGACTAGAGAAAATCAAAGGGATAAACCAGACTTGAATGGTTAAACCCTGTCAGTTGATTCCTACCTCTGATGGTTTTCAACATTTTCTGTATTTGTGTGTTTGTTTGTTTGTTTATTTGTTTTCAACTTGTTCATATTGGAGTTTACCTCAGATGTGTTATGTCATTGGGAATGACCCTCTTGAATATTTATTATATGTTTTTTCTGTGTTTCAGTAAATGAAACCCAGGATTGATGAACGTATAGGGACTGCAAGTAGAATAAGGTTTTTTTTTTGGGGGGGGTACAGTGGTGGTGGGGTGGTGGGGTAAAAGGGAGATGATGTCAAGGAGTTCAAGAAGTGAAAGAATGTTTTTAAATGGATTGTGGGAGCAATTATACAATACTCTTTGATGTGATTGAACTATGGAACGAAATGTTATGTGTATTAGCTCCCAATAAAATAGTTTTGATGAAAAAATACAGATTCCTGGGCCTCACTACAAATGGACCATATCAGAATCTATGCGGGAGGAACCTGGGGATCTCTATTTTTAGTAAGGGCCCACTGTGATGCTGCCGGCATTACTAAAACATGCGGCACTTTTTGGAAGACCACAGGGTGATATAAACCGGTAACATGCTCTGCTGCTAATCAGACTGGCAGTTCAAGTCCACTCAGGACTGGCAATCTACTCCTGAAAAGATCGGCCGCTGGAAAATTTGGGGGAGCAAAGTTTTACACTGACACACTTGTCGATCATCAAGGGGCAGAATCCATTCAGTGGAAACTGAAATGCGTGCACCGGAAAACACGCACATGCCTCTAGACCCAAATTGTCATTTTGAAATATCTCAAAGAATGCCTGCTTCGCTCTCAATGGTAGACTTTCAAGTGAGCTCCAGTTTCCCCTCTTCCTCTTGTCTGTGTTTACTTTTCTGGCTGTTGTCTTTAAATGCACATATTGCTCGTATGCTCAGAAAGGGGTCTACGTGTCTCCATAGGCAAGGCTAAATACTAACGTTCACTGGAACGACACTGTACGTACCTCCTGGCAACACAGTCTTGTCTGAGTACAAATAAGAACATGTGTTTTTTAAGCCTAGCCTAGCAATTAGCTTAGTCAATTTTCCTTGTCAACTACTTGACTTTTCTGTGCTTCGCTGTCTGGAGCCAGATAGGAATGGCTCCAGACACACGCAGATTCTTCTTTCCCCGGCCTCTTGAGGGTTTCCTTTCTTTGTAATGCCAAAGTAGCAGAGCGACACATTCTGAAACCGGCTTGATAATGAGAACAACCTGACAGTTCCTGAGGTTGCTTCATGAGTGCCATCTCTCTACCCCTCTCCTAGTGGCCTTATTCTGTGCCACGTCGATATGTTCGCTTATCACCGTGATGTGACTTTTACTGGCTGAAAAGGAAACCAGAAAAATAAAAGAGCAGCAGAAGACCAAAAATGGACTGGCAAGCCATATGAGAAAATGTTCGTGTCGAAATCTTTTTCTTTGGAGAGAGAAAATTACAGCATTATATTACTAGAGTCCACAGCTGATCAACAATTTAGCCCTCAGAGAGAAGACCAGAAATGAGGGGCAGAATATTGTATATATATCTTCACTGTAGCAAGTAAATTACACCATGGTTTGGGGCCAATTTATCACAGAAGGCTCCACACTTTTTCCCTGTGATTCCTTTGCTGTAACAACAACGACAACAAAAATGGAAAGGACATGGAAAGGAGGACCCTTATCATTTAAAAGAGAAAAATCTCGGTAAAAGTCACATGATAGTTCTTACTTCTTCCTCTCTGTGCCTAAGATCCTGAACAAATCCTTAAAGTACTGTGGAACTCGGACGACCACATCTTCGGAGGGACTGATGTCCTTCAGGTGAGGGTAGAGCCTCGTATCGATGACCTTCTTGATGTAGCCCAGCCAGTCAAACTGAAGAGACAGAAAAGAGAGGGAGCTAAATTGTGTTAGGAAGTACTGTCGATGGAACTGTGTCCCCCTGGAAGGGAGGCTGAAATCACTAACCCCTGCTACCTGTGAAGGTGACCTCGCATGGAGATGCTGACCATTCAATCCGCACGAGGGCCTATTGCACTAGGATGCATCCTAATCCAGCATGAGCGATTGCCTTATAAAGAGAAGTGAGACAGAGCAGAGGGAAGACAGCCAGGTGAGGCTTCAACTATAAGGCAAGGGAGGCCGGGGGCTACCGAACGATGAGAAACAATCTTTCTAGGAGCACCTGGACAGCACAAACGGTTAAGTGTGCCACTGCGAGCCAAGAGAATGGCGACTTGAGTCCACTCAGAGGCACCCCCGAAGCAAGCTGGCACTTGTGGAGTTGTTCTCGGTACACATGGGGTTCCCAGGAGGTGGAACTGACTGGACAGCCATGAACAATGAGAGGAAGATAAAGAATTGAAAATGTCATGTGAGCCATATCAGACAGAATCTGCCCCTAGAGCCTTGAAAGAGCGCATGACCTGGTGGATGGCCAGACTCGGAGTTCTCGCCTCCGGAACAGTGAGACCAGCCATGTTTCTCCTGAGAAGCCACTCGGTTCGTGGTGTTTTGGAGACAAAAGGAGGCAGCACGTGAAAGGAAAGGCAAATAAAAGCGCTTGGACACAACCGATTGCTTGTGATTCCTGACCAAATAATGAACTGACGATGCAGCTTCTCAAATCTAGAAAAATAAGCTCCTGATCATTGCCACCCTGTCCTGTTGCCTTAACCATCCGTGGAGGGCGTGTTCTGGTATCACCTACACATGGACGGCACGCACACTCACGCAGTCATATGTCTCTATGTCTTCACATGCCTTCCCCCCCACCTCACGCTCTCACTGGTTTACTGACACACAGATAGACGAAGAGGCCCCAAGCTAGTACGGGACTTCTTGCAGACAGGTTTCCTACATATGACAGGACACACACAGCTGCACAAGGGAGCACGTCTCCATTCTTGAAAGCATGACTATCTTACGTGAAACACCCTTTGGTGCTTTCAGTTGGCTACCTTACAAGAATGTCCCACCTTTGCTGCCTTGCCTCTCTCCACTATTAACATGAGGAGTCAGTTACTTAGCCAGCCTCTCCTATAGGTGGAGTGGCCAGGTGACCCAACTCTATTCAACAAGGAATATAAAAAGGTTTCCAAAAGTCCAGGAAGCTGATACTAAGGGCTTAAATAGGAAGTAACTGTTTAGAAAATGATGATGGAAACCTATGGACAAATATGCTTGATACAACTGCTATATGGAATTTTATAAGAGCCCCCAATAAGATGATTTTTTTTAAAGTTCATGGAAAAATGCATGATCTTTTCTTCCACACTCCATGAAATTTTGAAGACCCTCAGCAGGGGACACCCACACACAAAGAAGGGGAACACATCTGGGGACATTCTGGTAAGGCTCTTACTTATCCTGATCACGAACTGGATACGCCATCACTGGCCCTCCCCACTTGCCTCCTTCCTCCTGCCCTGAGGGCCGATGAGAGAGATGACCCATCTTGCAATGATGGGTCATCAAACATGAAGACAAAAAAAACCCACCTGTTGAGGAAAGTGAAGTAGAAAAATAGAAAGAGCTTGAGGTTTTGACACTGTTAAACAGGTGATGCAACACCAACCATCCCTTTTGTCGTGTAAGGAGACAAGCCACTGGTGAAAGCAGAAAGCATTCCTTTTCGGTGCACACAAAACATGGGCATAATATGTAATGGTTAATGAAGTTGCTAATAACCAAAATGATGGCAAGGTTTTACCTGGCAAAAAAATGGATGTGTATTATAAAATGTAACCACTTGTAAACTTATCAGTGAAGACCGACTTTCCTGGACAGGTTTTACCCACCTGAGGTATCATAGCACTCAGTTCGGAAATGTTCATTTTGTTGTACATGGCCTCACTGGTTCGGTTTTCATGTGGAATCATTATCTGATGGAAAGAGACCTGGGTTATTGTTTCGAATAGACCAGTTATTACTGCGTGATGACTTGCGACAACTGCTAAAACATCTGTATAGCTTTATAAAGGTTTTGAAGGCATTGATATAGTATTCAATGAGGGGAAAGACATCACTTGTAGGCAAGGTTAGGATTAAGGAAGATAGATGATAGATATATCAAATATATCTATATAGGTCAAAGATTATATATATATATATATATCTTGTTCAGTATGGAACATCCACCCCAGTACAAAAAGAATTTGACAGTCAATCTGGAGTTGAATGACTGAGGCAAATTCCAACTTTGACCTATGGTCTACAGGCAATGCCCTCAATGTTTCATGAGCCACAGTACCTTTCCTTCAACCTTAAAGCCGATCAAATCATCACTAAAGAACAGTTGACCATCAGGATACCACTGCTACCCCTGGTGATTTTGTTAACAGCTCCTACCTTCATTTTCCCTCACTCCTCCTGGTTGGCTGGTTGGCTGGTGTGTTTGCTTGGGTGGACTTGAAACTCCATGAGCCTGACTGCTGGGGTATGGACTCATTAATCAACGATTAGACAATTAATGACTAGATACTCATTTCAAAATCCACATCCTCAGCCCTGACTTTTCCCTCTGTTTCCACTCCCAACATTCACACACTTGACCCCTTTGTCAAGACTAAGTCGAAGCCCCTAGCATCCATCACGTTTCAAGGACGACCTTAATCATATCCATTCGGCTTCCAATACATGATTTTGTCTTGTGCATTGCCATCATCTAAAGCCCTTACATGAAACTTGTTACCTTCAACTTTTCACCTCACACATGACTCTCCTACCCTTCCTTTCAACCCCTATGCCCCCATCACCGCCCCCCATGGTTTGAACTGGAATTCAGCACCTTTCTTAAGATTCATTTTCTCTAGCAAATTTTCCAAGGACATGCCACCTGGTCCCAAGCACAAGGGCCACTCCATCAACAAGTCCTAGTTCTTAGGCATGCAGCTCTCTGGCTAGCTCTCTCTCGGTCACCTGCACACTTCCGTGGCTGTATTGACAGAGATCGATCTGTGCCGCTCCTGGCTGCCCATCCCCAGAAGTCTCTCTAGTGTTAAGTCTCCTGCTGAGTTGAAATGTCCCAGTGACCCAGAGTGCAAGGTATTTGATGAGCACGGTTAAGGGGTTCCAAGTCCACACAAGACAAAATCACAGAGGACTGGGTGGTGGCCCCCTGCCCGTTTTCTAAACACTTTCGTGCACACCCAGCCCCTGGCCCACCTCCACTGTCTACAGGTGAGGTCACACGTTCCTAACAGACAGCTCCCTCACTCTCTGCATCACTGCCTTGGGGCAGGTTCACACTCCTCCTTCCTCTTAGGCTCAGAGCCTCAGGTGGGAGCCCTTTGGCCTCAGAGCTGTCTCGGCTCCCTGCCAGCCCACCCGCTTCCCCACCTAGGACTTGTCACTTCATTTAGCCTCTTGCAAATTCTCAGCTGTTTTAAGTTCCCTTATTGGTCCCAGTCCCTGGCTCAGGGTCAGGCTTTCCTCACTAAAAGAGAGCTTCGGTCCAAATGATCGCTCTGGGCCTCCTATTTGCCAGGCAAGGGAATCCAGACAGCCTCTAAAAGTATTGCTCTTTGACAACAAAACATCTGCAACAACACTGACAGGAAAGCCTGTGAGACGTCCATCCTCACACGGTCTTCAAAGGGGACACGCAGGAGGGAACTGTTTGCACGGCAAGCGGGAGTTTGGGCAGAGGAATGGCGGTGCATCCCAGCAGAAGACAAAGGGGAATTGATACCTGCTGACGTGTGTCCTTCGCCCCAACTCTGTCCAGAACTTCCAACCACCGCTTTGCCAAATATAACGGCAATAAAGACTTGGACTCTTACTGCAGAATTTTTAGCAACCCCTGTTATAAAATACTACCAGTCCATAAGCAAAAGTTTCCTGACTCCCCTCAACCACAGGGTATCCCCATAAGCAGATTTCATTGGATTTGTTCCCCGTGGTCGTGGAAATGTGTAGGGATTTTATACTCTTTGGTTCTTCTAAAAGAAGCCATCTATAAACAAAGCCAACCATTTCGAATTCCCCATTCCTCTCCCTCAGTTTATTTCTTTTCTTTTTTTTAAATCATTTGATTGGGGGCTTATACAACTCTTATCACAATCTATACATCCATCAATTGTGTAAAGCACATTTGTACATTCCTTGTCCCCATCATTCTCAAAACATTTGCTCTCCACTTAAGCCCCCAGCATTAGCTCATTTTTCCTCCTCCCTCCCCCCTCTCCCCCCTCCCTCATGAACCCTTGATAATTTATAAATAATTATTTTGTCATATCTTACACTGTCCAACATCTCCCTTCACCCACTTTTCTGTCGTCCGTCCCCCAGGGAGGAGGTTATAGGTAGATCCTTGTAATCGGTTCCCCCTGTCCAGCCCACCCTCCCTCCACCCTCCTGGTATCGCCACTCTCACCACTGGTCCTGAAGGGATCATCCGTCCTGGATTCCCTGTGTTTCCATTTCCTATCTGTACCAGTGTACATCCTCTGGTCTAGCCAGATTTGTAAGGTAGAATTGGGATCGTGATAGTGGGGGCCGGGGAGGAAACTATTTAGGAACTAGAGGAAAGTTGTATGTTTCATCATTGCTACTCTGCACCCTGACTGGCTCGTCCCTCCCCAAGACCCTTCCGTAAAGGGGTGTCCAGTTGCCTACAGATGGGCTTTGGGTCCCCACTCCGCACTCCCCCTCATTCACAATGATGTTTATTTTTTGTTTTGTGATGTCTGATAACTGATCCCTTCAGCGCCTCGTGGTCACACAGGCTGGTGTACTTCTTCCATGTGGGCTTTATTGCTTCTGAGCTAGATGGCCGCTTGTTTACCTTCAAGTCGTTAAGACCCTAGTTGCTATATCTTTTGATTTACGGGCTCCATCAGCTTTCTTCAGCACATTTGCTTATGCATCCGCTTTGTCTTCAGTGATCGTGTCGGAAAGGTGAGCTTCATGGAATGCCAGTTTAATAGAACAAAGTATTCTTGCATTATAGATCTATGTACATATATTTATAGTTTAGTACTAAGGTAGCAGATGGACATTGCGCCTCCACTCAAGTCCTCCCTCAATGCAAGAATACTTTGTTCTATTAAACTGGCATTCCCTCGGTTTATTTCTACAGCTTTTTGTCTTTGCTACAAGCCTAAAAGAATTCCAGGTGGGTTAAATGAACACATCTATAACACAGTGACATTCATTAAAAGTGGGGCAAGGGAAAACGTGAGAATCAAGGATAAGCACGACATAGTAACAGAAAGGGAACACAAAATGCTTATGAGAGTCCCCTATACACTGTCAGCATCAAATTCTGTATCCAATGCTGGGGGAGACTTCCCTGAGGCCAGATCTTAGCTCAGACAGACCCTAAGTGAAGTTGATATAAAAATACGTTGGATTAAAAGTAACCTTCCATTCAAGCCAAATCCATTAGGATTCGTCAGCCCGCTGTACTTGCATTTGCGCTATGTGAGGATGTCTCTAGAAAGACAGAGGGCATCAAACCAGGGAGGGAGAAGGAAGACCTCCTCTTTCTGTCCTGATGCTTCTTCCTCTTGCTGCCCAGAAGTGATGCTATTAGTCCTACCTTGAAGCCAAGGAGAACGCCACAGAATGCTATTATTTTGTTCCGACTCTATTTTCATTCAGGATATCATTACTGACTTTCACATAACGAAATAGAAATAAATATTTTAGATTTAGACTCACCTCGGCTATTTTAATTTCCAATCTAAGCACTGACTTCATGTCATGTTCGGCTCGGGAGTTATTCGCTCCTAAAAGCACAGCAGTATCCACCATGAACTTGTAAAGGGCATCCCGATACTGTAAAAGACAAAGTGGCCGTGACAACAGCCTATTAGAAAGTATGTTTTAAAGCCGCAGAAGTAGCAGACATAGCAAGCAGAAATCAAAGTCCTTCATGTTCATGCTGTACCCAAAGTATGCTCAAAGTCACGATGCAAGGCCAACCATCAATCTACTGCTTCAGGAGGAAGATGAGGGAGGGCTACTTGGGTACCATCCTCAGGAGAGACAGAGAAGCCATCACAGATCAAGAGAACCAGTGATATGGTGGCTACACCAACTATCTGCAAACAAGCCCAGAATAGAACATTAAAGGTCAGAAGTCCTCTTTCCAAGGAAAGTGAGGCCTTAATAAAATGCTGAGAAAGTTCTGGACTTTCTGGAAGCAGGAGCTGTGAGCCATGAAGACCATGAGAACAGGGATTTATTCTCATCCAGCTCAATGGTCTAAGAGGTGAAAGACCAGGAACTGCACTCCTGTGTCTTTTCTGTTTTGTGCAACATTCACAAATGTCTCCTCCCTAGCTCAGGGGGAGAGAAAGGAGACAGGAGAGGGCTGATGAAGGCAAAGCTATCAAGGAGACAATACAGAATTTCCTCCCTGCGGGCTCATGAACCAATGATTGGACTTTATCATTGGAGGAGTATCTTAGGGGCATCACTTGGGGGGTGGGGGGTGGGCTTCGATTTCAGACATAGTTGCGAAAATACAATATACCAGGCATTAAATGAGGTCACCTCACGATTTTGCTACTGGAATCAGATTTCCTATCACGCACCGTGACTGTGCAGGCTGTTTGTACTGTGTTAATGACTTGAGGGCCAATATGGGGCTTGGTCCTCAAATAACGCAACACTTAAGAGGAGTGCAGTGCTTCCAGGATCGGGCACTACCTCCCTCCGTTGTACACCAGGTCACTGTGAGTCAGAACCGATGCTACAGCACATGAAAACAACACAGGGCTTGGCACCTAAATAACAACAATAAAAATAAACCAACTGTTGTGGGGGAATCAATGTCAACGCATGGTAACCGCAGGTGTGCATTGGAGCACCACACTCCACAGGCTGCTTCCAGGCTGTGACCTTTCAGAAGCCAATCACTAGACATTTCTTCCAAGACTCTCTGAGTGGGTTTGGACAACCAACCTTTCAGTCAGTAGTCCAGTGTTTAACCTTTGACACTATTCATGGGCTCCGGTTTAGCATGTAGCAGGCTTTTAACAAGTACTTGTTGGGTCAATAAGCGAACTTTGCATATAGCCTTGGTCAGAAGCAATGCTTTAGTATTTCAAGTTCCATTTTTTGACAACATTTAGTATTTGAGCTTGAATTATAAGCTATGTTAGTTATATTTCAATACAACCATTAGTGGTTTGTTGTTGTTTTCTTTTTACTGAGCACCTGGTCAATGTATGTACAAGGCTTCATGCTAGGAAATTTGTATATGTGGCAGGCAGGGAGAACTGTAGATAAAAATGTACATAACACAAGTCTGATTCTCGGAGTATGTGATCCAGTAAGGGAGATAAACATGTAATTACTTGCCATAATCCTAGAGAGATCAAAATTAGTTCCTTAATAAAGCTACTAAAGTGCTTAGAACTTTAAAAGCCAGAGGAGGAATTCCAGCCTGGAGAAATCAGGGACACAGGATTGCAGGAAGACAGGCCCTGAAGCGTGAGGATGCTCCTGTGAAAGGTGTGAGCTGCTTTGATAGTGCATGTGTGAAAACAGATGAGACCGAAAGGCAGTTTGGGGCCGTGTCATAAAGAAGCCCTTGAATCCCCGCTAAGGAATTTCGATCTTGTCTTAAAGGGCGAATGCAAAGTAAAAACCAGGAAAATGTCTTCAGAAATCACATAGCTGACCCAAAACCAATCAACAACATATCCTATATAAAACTGCCAACTTAACAACAGAGAGCCCAATCACAAAATGAGTAAAGGACTTGAAGAGATCTGTTTTCAAATGGTCACCAAGCGCATGAAAAGACTATTAGTTATCAGGGATGCAAACCCAAGCCCTAATGAGGTACCATTTCACTTCCACTAGCATGAGTAAAATAATCATAAGCATAATAATAAATGTTGGCAAGGATGTGGGGAAATTGGAACCTTCGCCGATTACTGGTGGGAATGCAAGACAGTTTAGCCACTGTGAAAAAGAGTGTGGCAGTTACTCAGAAAAGTACACAGAGAACTACAAAATGACCCCGCAATTCCATTCCTAGGTATAGACCCAAAAGACTGGGAAGCAGAGAAGCAAACAGAGACCTTTAATCAAATGTTCGCAGCAGGCTATTTACAATGGCCAAAAGGTGGAAATAATCCATGTGCCCATCAGCAAATGGGAATAAACAAAATGTGTACATACAGAAAATAGAATATTACTCAGCCCATAGGAGAAATGAAATCTTTATATATACTACAATGTGAATGGGACGTGAAGACATTATGAAATCAGCCAATCACAAAAGGGCAAATATTAGATATCTCACTGAAATAAAAAGATAAGAAAAGGCAGATGTATCTAGAACAAAGGATATTAGTGGTTACCAGGGGCAGGAAGTGGGGTGGGGGCAGGTTACAGTGATGGAAATATTGTTTTGATTGAAGGTCCAGCTGCACAGCTGATTATTGCAATACAGGGGTAGCTGCCGAGTGATTTGTGCCCTCCCTTTGGAAGAGGATGGTCATGGTTCTATGTTAACTGGCCTAGCAGAGGGTGGCTATGTGTTGGCATCGACTCTATGGCTGTGCGTCTGCGTTTTGAACATGTTTAGCACCTCTGTTCTACCTCTTAGTTTGCTGTGTAGTGCTTGGGGTCCTCAAAGCTTGCAAGCAACCATCCAAAGCACAACTGGCTTTTATTCATCTAGAACACTAGAGGGAGATGAATCAAGACTACAAGGAGGATATGCAGCGGTTTCCTTTGTCATGAGCTGGAAGAACTGATGGTGTCCAGCTTCCATTCCTGATGACTTTTATCAAGGAAACTGAGATTTTTCCCTCGATTGGGAAAGTCAGAAAAGGAAGCTGTTCTTTGGTTGCTTAATTTTTTCAAGTAGGGGCTTTCCTGGATGGAATGGGATGAGGAACAGAAAGGCTAAACTTATCGTTGACATCAATTCAAAGATCTGACCTTGAGGTTGCATAATGAACCCACCGCTGTTATTATTTGAACTCCGGTTGACTTTAGTTGTTCTTATGTGAACTCAGACCTGATTAGGGAATATTCATGTATTGGATTGTCGGTGGAGTCCCAGAGTGACCTCGCCAGATTTGGGTGTGATGAGAAATGCTTTGTTAACGAAGGAACGCCATGGCAAAGGTATAAGTGCCAGGTCAACTACCAGCTGATGGTGTCAGGCTTAGCTTTGTTCTTGCGCAAGATAAATGGACACAATGTAATGTTTTAATGAAAGTGTGTCACGGCTTACAACAGTCTCAGCAAAGCATGTCTACGCTATTTGTTGCCCATGAGGCACGCAGATCCACACATGAAGAGTAAAGGGAAATGTTACAAAAGAAGTAAAAGTCCATAAAAGGAAAAAAAATATTTCATAGAAAAATCTTGATAGAAAAGAGAAAATACAGACAGAACTTCCGATTCTCACAGACTCCAGACTTCCTAGAGCCAAGGAGCTTAGATAAACCCCTGAAACGAGTGTCCTGAGATCAGCTTGAAACTTTAAACCAAACATATCCCCCAAAGTCATCTGAACACTGAACAAGAGTTTAACCAAACTCGTGTTTAAAAATGGCCAGTCTGGAGCAGTATACTCTTTTGAGAACTATCTACATAGGATAAAATGGATAATGGCATCCTTGAACAGACCCTTGAGAATTCTGGTCGCCTACACTGAAAGCAGCTGACAAGGTGTGGAATTCTGAAACAAACCATCCTCCACTTGATGGACACCTCCAGGGACAGCGAGTTTATGCTAACGAGGGAGAAGCAACTCCGAGGAAGGTGAGGATGGCTGTAGAACTCGAAGAATGTCATTAGTATCACGAAATGGTACAGGTAGAAACAGTTGATCCAGTGTATGGCTTGCTGTGGATAGTCTTAACAGCAATACACACAATTCTTCAGAAGAGCAATGCAGCATGGAAATGGCATGCTGGGGGTTGTGCTAGGAGGAGCAAGTATGTCAAGTAGCGCTAAGGAAGAAAGAGACTGAAGGCACGGTGAAACAGTAAGAAAGATTGTCGCCAGGAATCAACGAGGATCGACAGCTCTGTAAGGATGAAAAAGGAGGGGGGGGCAGCTAGACGAGATCATTGAGGTGTCATGACGAGGACGGCTAATTGGTTATAGTGAGGGAGAATGTTTAAAAATGGCTGCCCTTGAGTCCATGCCAACTTGTAGCCATCCTATATAGAGTTTCCAAGGCTAAAATCTTTACTAGGTGGGACAGCCGCATCTTCCTCACGCAGAAGGGCTGGTGGGCTTAGCGGCCCAACACCTAGCCCACAGCACTGCCAGAGATCCTTACAGAAGTGCCCCAGATGGGCGAGAGTTCATTCTGTCCAAGGAGGAAATCTTGTTGATCCTCTTTGATGAAGGTCCTCAACCAGAAAGCTGCCTGGGATCTTGGCTTCTTTCCTGTCCCTCGAGCCTGTCTAGATAGAGGGGTTGGAATCAGCATAGGATTTTCAGGCTGGGTAGAAGCCAGCGAGGTCCCTGGGTCAGAGGCTCCTTTGGAAGTTCCATGAAGTCTCCAGCATGGGTGGAAAGTGTACGGAACGAACAAGGGATGGCCTGAAAGCACTGAGCCTAGGGACTTATCCAGAATAAAAGGGCTTCTGCTTCCTGCATGGAGAACTTGGTCATCAATGAGCCACGTTGCTCATTTCCAGTCCAGAATCTGGATTTTCAGAACAGCTTATGAACCGACAGCAGCTGAAAAGGCACATACTGGTAGATAGGAGTAAAACTTACAGACTTGGCTTCAGTGCTGTTATCAAGGTAGTCTTCTCTCACAGCTAGGGAGAGGGCCGCTTGGTCCAGCTGTTGAAACAAAAGCAGAAACCATCTGCTAGCACTGTACATTCTTAACAAAAGCCAGAAGACCACCTATGTCCCAGCCATGCTTTGAGCTGGGTCATCATTATAAAAATACATTGTGTTCAGAGCTGCATAGCAAGAGGTACATCAGATATCATACAGACCTGTCCCTTCTTTCCTGATTCATGGGTTTCCAACTCTTTTAAGGTTCTACCTACATTTATCAGCACCAAAGCCATTTGATTTGGCATAGCTCTCCGAGATCCTATGCCTTTCCTCCTTTGTTTGTTGAGTGACGAAAGAAAAGCCAGAGAAGGGATGTGATTTTTCTCAAGTGACACAGTTGGGCTGAGCTCAGCGTGGCATTGTCGTCTTGTGTCACCGGGCTCTGTATTCATCTCACGATAGTATCTCATCAAACACAGTCTGGATTGAGTTGACTAAGCAGACTTTGGACCATGCAGTGTTGCATTCTGCTAGGCATAGGACTGCTATGGGTCAGAGCTGACTCGGTGGCACCTTACAAAACAACACCAGGAAGCTACCTCCACACTCTAAAATAACATATTGCTTTGATGTAATTAAAAGGAATCAAACAGCAGGTTTGCTTTGAGAAATCTTTATAGAACTTAGAACCCTCTCTGGAGAGTTGAAGATTGGTGATTACAGGCGCAAATAATAATGAGACAATAAGTATAATTCATATTATTAAATAGTATATATTATACATCCTTGTGTTAAAACTGTCAGCATCTTAAAGCAATTCGATGGGGGAACAGATTTTTTTCTCAAAGAGGGTGCTAGGATGATTTGACATTCATAGGCGAAAAATGACCCTCAACCCATTCCTCACACCTTGGACATTAACTCAAATTGGATCATATAAAACAGAGGGAAGGTCATTGTTATTTGAATTTAGGCAAAGAAATTTATAAAAGGAAAAAAATGATAAATTAGACTTCAATGTAAAAGCTTTTTCTCTAGGAAATACACATTTAAGAGAATGAAAAGCCACAGATTGGTTGAAAATCACATATATGACAAAGGACTTCTATTCCGAATCTATAAAGAGCTCACAAAACTCAACAATAATAAAGCAAGCAGCTGAGGATAAACAAGCGGCCATCTAGCAGAGAAGCAACAAAGCACACATGCAAGAAGCACACCAGTCTATGTGATCATGAGGTGTTGATGAGATCAGGTATCAAGCATCAGAAGACTCACAACAAACAATCATATCAATGCAAATGAGGGGGAGGACAGAGTGGAGACCCAAAGCCCATCTGTAGACAATTGGACATCCCCTCATAGAAGAGTCACAAGGAAGGGATGAGCCAGTCAGGGTACAGTATAGCACCGATGAAGCATACAACTTTCCTCTAATTCTTTAATGTTTCACCCACCCACCCTCACCCCATTATCATGACCCCAGTTCTACCTTACAAATACAGCTAGACCAGAGCATGTACACTGGTACAGATGAGAGCTGCAAACACAGGGAATTCAGAACCAATCATGAGAATAGCAATATCAGGAAGGTAGGGGGAAAGTGAAGGGAGAAAGGGGGGACCACTCACAATGATTGATATATAACACCCCCCCAGGGGGACGAACAACAGAAACATGGGTGAAGGGAGACAGCAGTCGATGTAAGATATGAAAATCATAATAATTTATAAATCATCAAGGGTTCATGAGGGAGAAAGGGTGCGGGAGGGAGGGGAAAAAATGAGGCGCTGATACCAAGGGCTCAAGTAGAAAGAAAATGTTTTGAAAAGAACAATGGCAACATATGCACACATGTGCTTGACACAATGGATGTGTGGATTGTTAGAATTGCTTGTAAGAGCCCCCAATAAAGTGAGATAAATAAAATAAAACAAGCAACTCATTTCCAAAGTGAACCAAACATTGGATCAGCCACCTCACCAAAGAAGACATGCAGATGAAAAATAAGGGAATGAAAAGATGCTCAACCTCATGAGTCATCTTGGAGAGCGAAACTAATCAGACAGCACGACAGGTCTACTAGAATGGCTAAAGAGAAACAGTAACGACAGGGACAAAAAGATAACCAAGAAGGCCAATTGCAATCAAGAAGGTGGAAAACTGAACCGCTCCTCTGTGGCTGGAAGGAGTGCAACATGGTACAACCACTTAGAGAAGCAGTGCGACCTCCACTTACAGAGAAAGGGACTTCCAAAAGCTCACGGACAAATACACGTAATGGAACTTTTCCACAAACTTTTTGAAACTCTCTCGTAAGACCCAGAAATCCTACCCCATTCATTTACTCTGGAGACTTGAAGTGTGTGCTAGCACACAATCCTTAAGGAAACTTAATTCAGAATCGCCCCAAAGTGGTAAATGGACAAACAAACCGTGGTGTCCAGTGAAATACTTCTCATCAATAAGAAGGCATGAATGACTGATACACAAAACAATGGGTGTGCATTTTGGTTCCATTCTGAAAGGGGCAAAATGATCAGGGTAGAGAGCAGGCCAGGTTCCCTCGGGCTGAGACGGGGAGAGTGGTTGACTACAGAGGGGCGACCCGAGGTCATTCGGATGTCAAGGGGACAGTTCACTCTGGATTGTGGCAGTGATAGAACAGTTTAAGGCAGTTCAATCTCGCTCTTAAATTGTTCTGTCTTAATGCATCTGTCAAAAATTATAGACAGGGATGTCACATAACTATATGAATTGTTCAATACTTTTTTAACCGCCAGCATTGTCTCTAAACCTATAACTTATTCTTCCTTGAACTGCAGCAATGGCCTATACACTGAATACAATAAATAGGCCCCAGCAGATTTTCTCATTTAACTTGCTGATTTGCACATCAGAAGGCCAAGCCAAGTGAACAAGACTCATCTAAATAACAAATCAAAAAAATTAATACCTAATGTCGGGGGTTTAAGTGGAGAGAAAATGTTTTGAGAATGATGTACAAATACGCTTTACACAATTGATGTGTGTATGGATTGCGATAACAGTTGTATGGGCCTCTAATAAAATGTTAAAAAAAATTAATAGCATCCGAATACAAAACTAACCCTACATGCTCATAACATCAATGTATATGACTTTAAATTGTTCGGCTCCCTGTCGTCTGGTTTCCATTTCCTTTTCTTATAATCCCAAATAGTTTACTCTTTTTATTTAAATGTGGAAAATCTATATAGAATCATCGTTTGTTTTACGAAAATCGCCTTTGGAAGCAACAGATTCAGCAAAAGCTAAGTATTATATGACATTAAGAAAATTTCAAAGAAAGATACTGCTCTTGTTGGGGGTGGGGGTGGGGGAGATGTTGTCAAAACACCCATTGTGTCTGTGTGTTGCTAAAAATCCTTAAATTATTTTGTTTGGCCTTCACTAATTGGCTTGAAACAACCAAGTTACAAGCCAACCTGGCTTCAGACAACTACAATTCCCAAGCTACCAAAATTTCTTCCAAAAATTCAGCGAGCCAGGATCCTGAAACACAATATTATGATTAAGAGACTTCAGCTTCCAAGGAAACTTGGACCACTTGGGAGACATTCTATGAGTTGCAGTCTCATAGAAAAGGACACTGCGTAGATCATACCAAGAAAACCAAGGCTTCCCTCTCATTGAGTGACATCCACTCAACATAAACATTGGGATGATTCAAGTGAGGTTACCAGACTTCCATCAAAGCTTCAGCTTGTTATCGTTTCTAGGGAATATTTTAAATGGACCAATGGATAGAATAAGGTTAGTCAGTTGAATCCTATTAGAAATTTACAAGCTCTGAGGCAAAAGTCTTTCTCAAGGAAACAACTATGAAAAAAAAATTTAAATAAAAGAAGAAAACAACTGGGATGGCACTGTGTTCGTGGGGGGCGGGTCCTTTGAATCCTTGTATTTACAAGTAGGAAGAAATGTTTCTACGAACTCCAACGAGCTTAACTAAGAATGTGATCTCTTTTCCTCCAATTGCTACTCTGATTAGATAAAGTCCCGGTTTGGAGACAAAAATAACACAACGTAACACCTGTTCAATTATGGTGTAGGCAAAGGAAAGACAAAGACCTCAGAGAAAGTTCTTTTCCAATCGAGTTGCTCCTTGACATCCTTATGAATTTTCCCGGGGAGCCAAGCAAATGCAGATCCCTGAGTGATGATGACTGTAAGTCGCTGTTTTCAGTAAATAGTAACACATTCTTGCCTTTTAAACACTCTCTCACGGATTACATATTTTATTGTCCCATAAATCCTAATTCTGGCTCTCTCCTTACATAAAATAAACACAAGTACATGTAGCAAGATAATATTTCCAGAGATTAACTTCTGCTGTTTCCTGTGTGTTTATATTTCCTTTCCCCCTCGAGCCGACTCTGTGCCATCTTGCCACAGGGAAGCACTGCCAAAGCGCACATCTGTGGCATGGGGGAAGCATCCGCCCCGATTGAAACCTCATGGCAAGAGGGAGAAAAGTAAAATAAAATTCATCTTTCGTCACCCAAACGAAAAGCCTATTGATTGCCATTGGGTGGATTCTAACTCATAGCCACCCTTTAAGACAGAGTAGAACTGCCCCATTGGGTTTCCAAACCTGTATTCTTGGGAAGCAGGCTGCCCCATCTTTCTCCTGTGGTAGGGCTGGTAGCTTTGACTTGCTGATCTCTCAGGTAGCAGCCAAGAGATGGCTCATTGCACCGCCAGGGCTCCCGCCCTTCTTCACACCGGAGGAAACGGAAACTTCGAGGAGAAGGCAGTTTAGACCAGGGCGGCCCGTGAGTAAATCACAAAGCCAAAGTGTGAGCTTCAACCTCTTGAACACCCGAACCAACACTTTCGATCGACCACACCAACTGTCTTCAAGACAATGTTCCACAACACATAAGGGATGCCTCGGGAGCTCCAAGCATTCCATTTCGGTTTGGGTTTTTATATTTTCCACTTTCTTTCTTTGTTCTGCTTAACGTTCATAAAGGCAATTTAATAACGGGGGTGGGGGGTGGGGTTTGAGGAGTCGTGTTCACAGATGGCAACCATCGTGACCTAGTCCCCCATCATTGTTGACCTAGCCGGCCTTCTCCTGATGAGATTACAATGTCTCTGTGCCATGTAACTGTTTCATCCTCCAACATGGAAACTCTTTCTGGAACTGAGAATGTCATCTTAAATAGATAGCAATTCTTTCCGATGCTTTATTGAGACAGTCACTGTCTAGACCAGGGGTCAGCAAATGACAGCCTGCCGGCCAACTCACCACAGACAACCACGCCCATTCATGCACGGATCATCTACTGGTGGAGTAGAGAACGTGCCCCAGAGACAGACCAGATGACCTGAAAAGGCTCAAATATCCCGTCCTCTACAGAAAAGGTTGACTCACCCCTGGTCTAAATCAAAAGATAATCTTCAGGGTTCAGATGTTGGAAGACTGACTACTCTTCAGTTACTATGTTTTAAGAAGTCTAATACCTCCATGATTTCAATGAGAAATCGAATATTAATATTTTCTAGTTTGACAAAGGACCAAAGAAAAATCAGAGGTTCCATAAAACTTTCATGAGTCGAGCAGCAGTGGAAGCAAAACAATAGCAGGATCGCAACATGAAACCATCAGAGAAAGGTTATTTGAATTCTTGCACGGCTCTTCTTTGATGGATCTTTCATTGCAGGAGCTTTCTGACCGTCTCCTGATTATCACAATGCAATCTAGCTCAGAGTCCATCCACACAGCACACTTCTCTCGGGCTGCTTACGCTCCCACCAAACATGCACTGAAGCACTCACTGAAAACAGGACTACCATTCAAGTCGGCGTGACTTAATCTTTGAAAGGAAGTAGGAGACTCAGATTGAACTCAGCAATAAAAACTCAAGAAGATGTTAGTGAAAGGGGAGCACAGAACCAGGGCAGGCTTCTCTCCTCTCAGGACCCAGTTCAGAACATCTTTGCTAACCAAGGGAAACCCTGACCCTCAAGCCATTGGAGTGGAGGAGCTCCGCCCATGCTGAGAGTAGATATATGGGAGGGGCCGATCACAGAGTACTTGAAACTCTCTCCTCTGCTTCCTGGAAAGCTGACAAAAACGTGTCTGCTAATGATTTGCACTCTGGGGGGCAGGAGAGAAATGATCCTACATCCTATGGGCCCACAAAATGTTCACATTATTGTTTCACTAAGGCAGTGTAAATCTCTTTCCTTTAGGAAGGCACCCCCCCCACTGCCCCCGCCAAAAAAAAAAAAACCACAAAGGTGACCCTGGGACTGAATTCCCAGAAAGAACACCCTTTCCACTATACCTTCAAGATGTGTTCGTTGGATGCCTTGTCGTCAGGGGACACATACAATCGGATAAACACAGAATTGCTGTATTGGCCCCGAAACGTTGCAAGCGTCTGCAGAAGGCTGAACTTCCTCTCTGACCAAACCCCTTCAGGGCCGATATTGGATTCCAGCACGGGCCAGCGGAAAGGCGAATGCCGTAGGATGTGCAGCAACGGTTTGGCATCTGCTTTTTCGATTGCTTCTGAAAAGGAGCAGACAGGCGGGGAGAATTCACATTGGACATTGAATGACCCAACCTGAAGGGCAGGTACATTTTCGCAAGAGAAAATTTCAGCAAGGCCCCAACTTTAAAATTGCAACCCTAGGTCTTGAAAAGGCTGATGGGGAGAAGTGGAGTGGAATGAGCATAATCACAGGCACAGGACTGCCAATGGCTTACACTGCAAGTCGATGGTCAAAACCTAGTGCTCTTGCCAGGACAGTGGGGGAGGGACCCTGCTGCATAGTACCTCCCAAAACAGTGCGCTCGCTAAGGGCAACGAAAGATGTCATCCTCCACGGGACTGAGGGATGTCCTGAAGGAAACAGCTCACCAAAGCCTCTCTCATCTTCTACTGCTAGCTCACCAAATGATACCCCAAATCCTAAACTAGTACGATTCCCAGAGACAGGGATTTTTTTTCCTTCAGTAGCCTTGAGTAAGCAGACTAGACAGAATGGCTGTTCTAAGGACAAATATCTCTTCTAACTCCAAGGAGACCCAAGATGTGCAAACGGGCCTAAGGCACCCGATAGAAATGCCTGGAAAGCTGGCATGCCTGGGAACCAGAAATCCCCCCACCCCCACCCCCAGTCTTAAGGAGCAGATCAACCCTCCATAGTGTCCTCTGCCCAGGCGCCTTCCTTCTCAGACCAAACCTGCCCCCCCCCTCGTTTCTGGTTTAGGCACCCAGGTACAATGGATGGGGTTTGCCCTTCTGACTCCCCAAGTTTCTCACAGACTAATTGCTATCCATAAACTCCAAAGGGAGAGAAATCAAAGTATTTCCTGCCTCCAGGCAGCAGCAAGAGATGAACTGAGGTTGAGCTGGTCCAGAGCCAGCCTTTGGTTCCTTTCCTTAAACAACACCTTTCAGTCTGAAGAAAATTTTCTTGCGTGCCCTTTTTCCTTAAACCATATCTTTCAGCATTAATTGACCCCTGAGGAATACGTGTGCTCAATATTTTATTTATTTTCCTTATTACTCACTCTCGTTCAGGCAGGATGAATAAAGGATCTTGGCTTTCTGCACAGCTTCGGTGTCCCGCCTCCGACTGATTGATTTCTCCAAAAGTGCTGGGAAGGTTAAAAGAGGCTGCATCAGTAGCCACCCCCACGTGGGGCCGGACTGGAGGTCGGTTGACAAGCACAGAGCCAGCCTCCAGAAAATGAAATGTAAAGACAGACAACCCTGGCAACGACAGATCTGGGAGAGACGGGCATGCAGCAGAACCTAGTCCAAGTTGCTGGAGGGTCAAATAAAAATCATTGAACATTCTCATAGCCAGGCCTCCAAAGCAAACCGCCAGTTCAATTTCCAATGGAGACTAGACCTTCTGCGGGAGGGGGGGGAGTTAATTTCTTTTGCCACCTACACAAAAGGAAACAATTCATTTATTCAAGAGCCAAACATAACTGAAGTCTGTCCCTTGTTTCCGCACTGAGGAATAGTCTCCAGGCGAGGCAATTGCATGGGCGTCAGGTTCTTTAAGGCTGCTTCACAGCCCAGCCTCACAGGGAGGTCACCTGGAAGAAATCTCCCCTGAAACGTTGTACTCGATGTGGCGGACACAGAAGAGGCTGTTTGGACAGGAAATGGGGAGGCAAGATGAGGAAGCCGAAACACATTGCCCGAAATCGGGCCCACTGACCATCTCGGCAGGGCTCTGTGTGCAAAATGGTTGCGAGGCTGGACAAAGGCCCACTTTGAAAATGAGTTTCCAGGGACAAGATTACAAATACTATTGTTTGGAGGTGGGAAATGACCACGGGCCACAGTTGCCTTGCCATGTTTCAAAAGCGAAAAGTCGAGATTCAGTGAGCGGCTCACACAGAGATCATTTCATGCTTCTCTTGGCATTGTGAGCGGATACAACCGTTGAGCTCACTGCAATCACAACAGGGAAGAAATCCACCCAGTCAGTGAGCCTGTGCAGGTCACACGCGTGTTATTCAAGGGTCAACTGGAAATTGCACATGGCTTTCTTTCTTTTCTTTCCTTTTTCCCCCCACGACACAGGAGGTCAGGGCCCCTAACCCCTGACCCTAATCCAAAAGGAAGGGGAGGTGTTGAAAATTCTGGTGACCACAACATGGTGGGCCACCTGCATCAATGTCCAAGCGCTGTCGCACCGGCATTGGTGGCTTGTTTTTGAAACAACCCCAGCAGCCTCCCAAATCATGGGACAAGAGATGTTCCCACAAGTTCTCTGAATAGCTAGCAGACGCAATGTATAGGGCCAATAAAAATAATAAATCACCACATATGCCCTGAAGAGGAATGTGCTTCTAAACTAGCTCGAGGTTTCCCCCAAACGCAACCCCAACCTCCTGTCCAGGATTTCATAAACACCTGTATATAACGCAGGTTCATCAAACTAGGGAGCGTCAAGCACAATAGATTAAGTGGGGCTGGCTGTGGTCTTTTTTCGAGGATTCCCCCTGGTTGGTGGTTTCTTCCTTAGGTGGGATTATTGCACGAGAGCAGGAAGACTAGTCCTGAGAATAGAGGGGACTGGTTTTTGAATAAACAGATAAAACTCTACCACTACCACCACCCCCAACATCTATGTCTTCCTTCACACTGGGTCACGTGCCTTCCCACCAAATTGCTTACACAACCACGAGATTGTTGAGACGAGCATTCGGAAGTAAATACTCCAGATTTCATGTAGGGATGTGATGTTGTTCCAAGACTATAAACACTCCACCGGTGGCTGAAAGGAATGCCCGGAGGACCAAACACAAGTCAGAGGAATAAAAATAACTGGAAGCATTCAATATTTACCTGTGAGTGCACCCGAGGTAAACTGTGGATCACACGAGGGGAGGGGAAAGGACGTGGATGTGCTTAGTAGCACAACCCCCAAACCCTCACCTCATTTTTACACCCATTTTTACAGCAGACTTGGAGATGTCAAAATTCTGGTTTCTGTACCCAGAGGTGGGCTTTACAAACTAATTCCTCTAGTGCCAGTCCCTGCCCTTCCCTAAGCTTCCTTCTCGCAGGCAGGCAGGACAGCATTGATATGCAGACAGTGGTGTGGCAATCAGTGGGTAGCATCCATTTTCTGTATCTCTGCATGTGAATTAGGGGTGAGAGGAATAAAACCCAGCCGGGAGAGTCATTAATGAGCGCAAAACAAAGCCTGCCGATCAAAGGCAATTACACAGTTTATTAAAATGTCCCTAAAGCACTGAGCATGGGTCACCCAGGCAGGGACATTTCCCATCCAGCCGCCTGTGATGTGTCTTAGAAAATTTGTTACCCCTCCCCCTCACCCCCCAGGCACTCCTTGCCACATTACATCTGCAAAGGAAAACTACAGTTCATGAACATTTCTCGTATGATTTTAAACTTGATTTGAACAGTATTTCCAGTCATCCAATTTGAACGTTACATGTATGAGGCTACTGTTTTGCTACAAATATCACTCACTCACTGCCATGGAGTGGATGCTGACTCATAGCGACCCTATAGGACAGGGTAGACCTGCTCCTGTGGGTTTCAGAGACTGTAACTATGGGAGTTGTTCCTTTCTCCCTCAGAACAGCTGGTGGTTTCAAACTGCTGGTCCTGTGAACCGCAGCCCAGTGCATAACCACTACACCACCAGAGCGCCTACACATATCACAGAAACAATTTTTTACACAAAAAATGTCAAAATGTGAAGGGCCTATCCCTAGACATATTCTGAGATGAATGTTTTCATCTCTCTCTTTCCTGCAGAATTTGGCATTGTTCCATTGGTCCTGTATGAACACAAGAGCTCTGGCATCTTTGAAAAAACTCAAATCAATGTGTTCTTTTTAAAAGGGCCTTGAGTTTGGGGAACAAAAAGTTGTCTGATGGGGCAAGATCAGGGCTATAGAGTGGATGGGGAAGGTTTCCCAACAGAATCTCATAAGATGACCCTCACTACCCTCACAGAATGAGCGGTGCATTGTCTTGATGGGGAGAAAAACAAATGCTTTGTTGCCACTCTCCTGGCCTTTTTCTCACCAATAGAGTTGCCAGTTTCTGAAACCTTCCTGAAAAAAGCCCTCGTGAGCACCCTGTCTCCTTTGAGAGAATCGCTCAAAATTATCCCTTTAGGATCCAAAGCACAGTCTCTGTAGCCTTAGTTAGAGTTGAATTAGCCCAGCAGATTCCTTCAGAAGTTCCAGTTTTTATACGAACCCTACTTTTTGGAAGGAACCCTAAGGAAAATAAAGCAATTGCGTTACTGAGAGTACTTGCTTGCACCCAGGCATGGACCACAGAGACAAGTTAAAACCATGTTTGTTTAGAACAAAGCAGTGCAGGTACGAACGGAACCCGAGCAGCAATACTTTTTGACGTCCTCTCATACTATAAAGGTATTTTTCTTCTCTTCATTATGCTCAATAAAATAAAATTGCTTTACACTCCATGGGGGAATGAATAATGGAATTGTAGGAGAACAGATACATTGGATGGTGTAAGATATGGTAAAATAATAATAATAATATAGTAAGGGTTCCTGGAGGGGTAGGATGAGGAAGGAAGGGGATACAGGGGAACTGATATCAGAGTTTAAGAAAAAAGAAAATGTTTTGAAAATGATGGTGGCAGCAACTGTACAATTATGCTTGATCTAATTGAATTATAGATTGTTATAATATCTGGTGCCCGGCTATCAAAAGATATAATGTGTGGGGTCTTAAAGGCTTGATAAACAAGCACCTATCTAGTTAAGAAGCAACAAAGCCCACATGGAAGTAGCACACCAGCCTGTGTGGTCACGAGATGTTGAAGGGATCCGGTATCATTGTGAATAAGGGGGAGTGCAGATTTGAGACCCAAAGCCCATCTGCAGGCAACTGGACACGCCCTTAAAGAAGGGTCGCGTGAAGGAGATGAGCCAATCAGGGTGCAGTGTAGCTCGGAGGAAATATATAACTTTCCTCTAGTTCTTTCATGCTTCCTGCCCCACCCCCCACTATCATGACCTCAATTCTACCTTACGAATCAACTAGACCAGAACATGCACACTACTACAGATAAGATCCCACAACACAGGGAATCCAGAACAGATAAACTCTTCAGGACCAATCATGAGACTAGAGCTACCAGGAGGACAAGGGGAAGGTGGGGGGAGAAAAGGGGAACTGATCATAATGATCGACCTATAGCCCCTCCCAGGGGGACGGACAACAGAAAAGTGGGTGAAGGCAGACAGAGAACGATGTAAGATGTGAAAACAATCATCTATAATTTATCAAGGGTTCATGAGGGGGGGAGGGTGGCTATAATATTCGGCTTGAGAAGGATGACGGCAAGAGAGAGGGAAAAATGAGAAAGATGACGGCAACACATGTACAAATGTGCTCGACACAATGGATGGATATATGGATTGTGATAAGAGTTGTACAAGCCCCCAGTAAAATGTTTAAAAAAAAAAACTTTTGAGACATCATTTAACCTCTGTAAGCCTCCATTTCCTTTTCATCTGTAAATTTCAGATAACAATAGTATGTGTCTCCCAGGGCTGTGGTGACTTTTTTTTAATGTACTATATGGAGAGCCTTCAGCCCTATAGCCAGGCTGGAGCCTCAGGGGGATCTTGTGAAAAGGGAGGTTCTAATTCAGTGTATCTGGGGTAGAACGGCAAATTCTCAGCTGAGGGTCAAAGTGGAATGAGCCAATGCAAAGGCCCGGTCCAAACATGTAATCAGTGATTGGTGCATGAAGGTTCACACAGAATGGTAAGGTTAGTAGCTTTACACAAAATGATGATGTTTTCGAGCTTGTTCCTAGTGCTGGCCCCACAAATGTTTTCCTCTTCACTCTCACAGGATATTGGTGCCCAAAGGTCTTAAACTAACCCAAGACACTGCCCCTGAGTGTACGATCATTTCATACACTATACTAATCACCTCACCAAAGCCCTCTGCTCCCAAACGTGTCCTTGGCCCCTTAATAGAGGCAATGCTCCTTAAAGAGAGTTATTTTGCATTCAGTCTTAACCTCTGAAATTAATTGTGCTCATATTCCTTTTCCTAGTAGCATAATAGCTGTGGATTGGGCTGCTAACGAAAAGGCCAGCAGTTCAAAA